GCAATGTGTCATGCAAGTTTATCTTTGAAGAGTTTACAGCGAAGAACCACGATGCAAATTGTAACATAAGTGGCTAGGGTTGCTAAATTTTTCGGACGAAATCCTTGAATCTCATGCTTGTATTGCTTTTATACTGGCCTTTTTATTTGACCAAATATACTCCACTAATACTACAAAAAGTTGAATATAAAACGCTACAATGAATTACACCAGTAAATTTATATCGACTCACACTTAAGTTAATATTTATGAATTTTCCCCACCAAGGAATTGCGTTTATTTAGTCATAATAAGCACCGCAGAAGGCACCAGGCCGAGCACATCTAGAGGTTTTTCAAAATCCTCCCCTGTGAAAACTTTTCGAGGAAATGTCGTAATTAAATTAAAAGGCGATTCGTCACCTGTTTTCAATTGAATAAAAACTCGCACAGCAGACAGTGGTTCCTTTACGTTGAATGTTTCAGTAAGTGTGGATCCATCACGCAAGCGAACTTGTAAACGAGTTTGAGTATAATCTCTATTCGCTTGTCGAACACTTGTTGTAGATNACGTTGAATGTTTCAGTAAGTGTGGATCCATCACGCAAGCGAACTTGTAAACGAGTTTGAGTATAATCTCTATTCGCTTGTCGAACACTTGTTGTAGATGCCGCAACAGGCAGCGTGGGGGAAGTTGTTACTGACGAAGGTTGCTCAGCTTGGTTTTGCTCTCTAAAATTGTAACGGAAAATNTGCCGCAACAGGCAGCGTGGGGGAAGTTGTTACTGACGAAGGTTGCTCAGTTTGGTTTTGCTCTCTAAAATTGTAACGGAAAATTATGTATACATTTTGGAGAAAATTATGTATTTTGCAATGTTAATAACACCTAGCTTTGCGAGCAGCTTTATCAGCTTCAATTTGAGCCCGAACACGTTCCCTTGCTGCTTTTTCCTCAGCTTTTTCACGCTTACGTTGGTCTACTATTTTTTTCATTTCAAGCTCTTCCATTCGTTTCCGTGCTTCAGTCATATCTTTCCCCGATTTGATACGATTTTTCTCTCTTTCCAGTGCCTCGGCCTTTTCACGTTCTTCACGTTCACGTCGTTTTTGTTTCAATTTTTCCTCGATCAAAGCAAGTTGTGCCTTTTTCTCCTCTTCAGTAAGTGGTTTCTTTTCTTCCGTCGACTCTGAGAAGTTACTATGTCCAGTCTTTGCAGCATGAAATTCTACTTCCGTTTGATCTTTACATAGCTTTCCACAATCATCGCATTTCAACGACTTTGCTTCAACATCAGCCGATGATGATGGATCTGTATTTTCGCCCACTGTACCGCTGTCCTCAACAATCACAGATGGAGCAGTTTCTACTGGAATATCTTCATCAGCATGTGCCAGCAACCATTCCATAGCAGGCTCCACTCCTTTATTATTAGTCACTTTCATAGCATATTCTCTATATAAAGTAAAAATAAGTCTTGGGATTTTATAGGGTACGGTTTAGTTATTTGCCCAATGATTTTCGGCTATTGTTCCAAATGGATGACCCGATCAAAACAATTTTACACTTGTAGTCAAGGATCTAAACTTTATTAAAACCTAATTTCATAATATTCGGTCACTAATTTATCATTGAATTCGATTTAAAATATGCACATTTGTGAGCTCTGCGCAAAAACACTGTGGTCAGCGTAGCGGGAGTACAAGTGGTCTGCACAAAAATACCGTGATTGCCGTAACCCGAGTTTTCATTTTGTGTGTCAAAATGCTAATTTTAACCACACCAAATGGTTCCCCGGGGATCTGGCATGACTTTTTACAAAGTTTGAACTGTGATGTTGTTGTAACAGCATACAAATTCCCCAAAAAGTTTTCGGCGAGTTTTGCTGGAGTGGCAGTCCTTAGCCAGATATAAATCGCTGCGGCGATGTAGACCCGACT